TGTCTTTTGTGTGCACTTGCATGTGTATGCCTTGAGCATGACCCATGCAGTTCCATTGGACAGCCTTCTGAAGGCCGCTTGGTTGGATGTGTAACAGGTGAATGTGGAGAGGAACAGGGGAATGGAAGGTCTCAGGACAGGGCATCAAACAGTCCCTGCAGTGTCACCACACCTCCTCCCTGACCCCCTCAGTGCTCCTGTGTGCCTCACCCACCTGCCCACCACACAGCTGGGGGACAGTGCCCAGCCAGCCCCTGGCCACAATCACGCGTGCATCCAGAGTCCACTGTGGTTACTGTGCGGATAGGGGCAGTCCCTCCCTGCTTCCTTTTTTCTTTTATCCTCACCTGGGGACATTTTTCTATTTATCTTCAGACAGAGTGGGAGGGGAAGAGAGAGAGAGAGAAACATCGATGGGAAAGAGACACATTGATTGGCTGCCTCCCGCATGACCCCAACTGGGGCCGGGGACCGAACACCAACCCAGGTATATGCCCTTGACTGGAAATGAACCCACGACTCTTCTGTCCACGGGCTGAGGCTCTAACTGCTGAGCCAAACCGGCCAGGGCCCTCCCTGCCTCTTAATACCACTGGTTGGTCCCAGAGCCAACATGAAAATTAATTACCATGAATCATCGGGGATCCCACAGCAGCTCTATTAACTAACTTGTTACTATTTAGCATGACCTCATTCCACGTGCACCGTCTTCTCCACAAGGCTCTTCCTGCAGATCCCTCCCCCGAGCATAATCTTCCACAGCTCCCGTTGCCTATGAAATGAACAAGCCGGGCCAGGCGCTCAAGGCCCTGCTGGGTGCGATTCTCTGCAAAAGGCCTTTCCAGTCTCATCGTCCACTTCCATGACGTCGCTTTCCCCCTCCCGCCGAACGGGCCACTTGCTATTGTGGACGTGCCGGCACCCACACCCCACGCTTTGCACAGGCCAGCCCTCTGTCCAGAACCCCCTGCTCTCCGCCTCTGCCCACGTGGATCTTATTCATCCTTCAAGGAGCGTGTCAAATGCCCCCTTTTCATGGACCCTCCTCTGACCCACCCAGGGACCGTGCCTGTCCCCTCCATAGAACTGTCTTGCTCTTTGTGCCTCTCTCACATCTCAGTCTACTGTGTTGTAATTACCTGGGCCCTAGTATATTCTCTCCTCCGGAATTATAAACTCTGTGGGGAGGGAGGGCGGTGTTCTCCTCCTATCTTCATCCCTGGCATGCCTGGCACTCAGTGGATGGCGCTCTGTAAGTATTTGCTGAATTGAACTGACAGATAGAAGCACATTTTTAAGGGCTGATGATTCTTCTGGAGAGAAAGGGGGTCCTTGTCACAAAGCCCAGGTCTTCAGGGCCTGTGACCCGTTTTTAGGAAGGCTCCCCAGCTCCTCAGGGTTCTGTGAGAGGCACTGGTCACCTGTCTGGACACACAGACTCACCTACACCATCCTGAGCAGAGAGCCTCTGTTCCAGGCTGCGGGATGCACGGGCTGCGTTCAGCGCTGTGCCTCCAGTGCCAGAGCCTGGGCTGAAAGGAAGTGGCCTTGGAGCCGCAGTTGCCACATCCTCCCTGGCCCTCCCTGGCCCGCACCTCTCCCACCCTGGGTCAGATCTCAGGCCTGAGGAAGGAGGCAGGGTCAGGCAGAGGTGTGCTAGGGGCAGATTGTACCAGCTCGAGAGAGCCGACTATCACATTTTCAGGATTTTTGCAAACCTGTTGTTAAACAAGCCAGTATTAAAAAAGGAATTTTACTATAAAAAAGGCAATAAATACTCAGAACTCATCACTTCCTAATTATTTTATACATTTCACTACTGTCTGTGTTCTGGGGTCATTTCTGTCGGTTGTGTCTGTACGGTGGGATTTTTGTGTGGGCTGTGTTGCTGTGTATCTCTTCCCAAAGCTGTGTTCAGTGACATCATATTAATAGCGTGAAATCAGCTGTGGCAGGAGTATTTATAGCACAGATATGAGTGAATGCTACAAATCAAGGCTGGTGGTTAAACATTTATCAGCACAACACTGGTTTGCCCGTCTGTTGTATGGGGGTTCCGAGGGCAGGAGCACAGCCACCTCGTGAGACCACCCTCTTGCCAATGGCAAGTATGGAATGCACCGATTTCGGGGCCCTGAGGCCCCTGAGGTCCTGGCCCAGCTCAGTGGCAGATATGGGCACAGCTGCCACTCCAGGTAGATGGAGGGAGAGGCTGGGGTGCAAGTCCTCCTGCACTCCCTCCTGGGTGGGAGCTGTGGGCATCGGGGGCAGAAGCAGTCTGGGCATGAATGAATGCACAGTGGCAGGCCAAGCATCTGCACTGAGATCCTGGTGAGGTGTGGTGGGAGACAGAGCAAGGACACGGATGTTACCCAGATCTGCAAGCAGGAGGCACAGAGTGTCACTAGGCCAGTCTCATCCCTCGGTCCCAGGGACTCTGACCCAAGTGTTCTCTGCTCACTGCAGGGATGGTACACAGGCCAGACAGCGGCTCGAAGGCTGTGCCACCTGGAGCAGCCAGGGACTAGAAGGAGCTCCCTGGCCAACTAGTCTGAAGACAGCATCCTGTTTCCCAGTGGTACCAAAAATCAGGCCTTGAACACTGCAGGGATCTAACTAAGAATAACAGCTAACAGTTGGAGGGACTGGGGAGAGAGGGTGTTGAAGGCACAATGAATGGCCTGACTGGGAAACTTGCTGGATGACTTTAAGAAAGTTCATCATTTTTCTTCCAGGTTGTTGTGAAGGGTTATTTTAAGCATTTGTAGAGAACCCAGCACAGTGCCTGCCACTTAGTAGGTGCTCATAAATGGGGGGGGGGGGGGCTCACAGTGCTGCCACAGGGCATCAGGGACCTGGTCCCAGCCCAGCTCTTCTCTCCCCAGCCTAGGACCCAGGCAAGGCCCTCCAGGATCTCAGTGATGGCATCTGAAATAGGAGAGGGCTGGGCTACATGATCTCTGAGATCCTTACCACTGTGGATATTCTCTGTCTCTGTGAATAAAACTGGTAAGGGGGATGATCTGCGTATCAGAAGAGACTGGCTGTACTGAAAATCCTGTGATCAATGTTTGAAAGGACACAGAAAAATAATAAGTATCCAAGTGTGGTGGGACTCTTGGATTCTTTCATTAAGTAAACAAAATTGCCAATGAGGTAGCATTTGGAAAGATAAGACAACTCAATTCATCCCTTATTGATGGGGATCTTTAGGGAGAGGGTACCCCTCCCAGGAAGATCCAGCTGAGAAAGCAGCAGGTCCAGTCTAGGCTTGGAGCCTTATTTAGGATTCACTTGTTATTGCAATTTCTAAATCAATCACAGGACAGAGTGCTCAAGGGAACTGCAGACAAGTGTGTGGATAGAAAGGCATCCTGGGATTGCTTCTGAAACAATCACTCCACCCCATCCCCCAACCCCACACAGAACTAAACAGAGTGGGGTGACCATGGGGGAGGGTCAAATTCTAACTAGAGACTGGGGGGGGGGGCTTAAAGAAAAATATATCAATGTATAAAATCAAATCTCATGATAAATATCCCAAATATGCTATAAACACCACTATCCAAGGCTGCAAAGATGAATTTGGACTAAACCTTGTGTATTTACCCCAGACTGGGAACTCCTCAAGGGCAGCCCCCTACCCTGTTTTTGTCTTAATACAATACCTGGCATATCCCAAGCACTCAACACGTCTTTATCAAATGAATGAAAGAATTAATAGGAAACTGAGCTGGTAAATCAGCTTTGTCCGATGGGAACCCAAGTAGCTTTTGAGCTCTCCGAGGTCCTGCCCGCACGTGGGCTGGATTAAAACTGCAGAACAAGCCCCTAGTTACTGCACTACCTCTGTGTGCAGACATGATTTTAATATCAGAGCCCCTCAAATGTCTTTCTTGTCCTGCTTCAAAACAATCCAAACTTCATACAAAATATATTGTGAGGTCTTGTGGGCTTTTTTTTTTTTTCAGTCTCTTCAGTTTGCAGGGGAGAGCCTATGTTTTTTTCACCCACACAAGACCTGCCTGCAGAATTCTCAAGACATTAATTTCATTCATTCATTCATTCATTCATTCATTCATTCATTCATCAGTACAGATGCGCCGATACTGTCCAGATGGCTTCTCAGAATCCAGCTCCTGCCCTCAATGCTTGTGTTACTGGTAGGAGACATAAGACAATCCTCTTCCCTGGAGAGGAGGTTGGGAGTGGAAATCGCAGACACTTTGGGAGAAAGGGCAGGAAGGAAACAATCAGACTTGCATCTTAGATGTTTGGAGTTTGAAAACATCCAGAGAAAGAAAAGGTAGGTTAGACTCTGCATCTGAAAATGCCACAGAAAAGGCAGCTCTGGGGACTGGGAAGCTGTCCAAGCCAGCATGCTGTGAGGATGCGGGGAGATCAGTGGGAGAACTGACCACAGGCCCGAGGACAGCGCATATGAACAGCACCACTGCCGGTCCTGGCTCGCCAGATTCTTCGATCCCCGCCCCCAGGCGCCCACCCGGCCTGCTTCACGTCTTCAGGCCGCAATCACTAACGTTGCACGAGTCTTGGGTGCCCCGAACTGTGCTGAGGGCTGAAGAGCCTGCTCACTTTTCGGGAATTCCTCACCTTCTTGCTCCTGCCTAGGCGTCTCCAAACACCAACCCCATACGGTGTCTCCCTCTCCACTCTCTTAACCGGCCCCCATCCACTGGAGGTCCCCCTTTCCCGGCCTGAGTGTTTACTCTGCGCCCGCTAGGGAGCGACATCCTGCCAAGGGGTCTGGAGAGACCCCACCGGGGCCCAGCCTCTGCCCGGCCTCTGCCCGCTGCGAGCGCGCACGCCCCGCCCGGGAAGACCCCGCGCCGGGCGGACAGTTCCCCTCGGGCTCCCTCAACTGCAAGGCGCTGGGCGCAGTTCCGACCGCCGGGAGGGTTTTGCGGAGGGGGAGGGGAAAGGTAGGGGCTCCAGCGGCTCTGACCCGCAGGTTCAGCCTGCATGTGCGGCGGCCTTACCCGGGCATGAGGGCTGGGGGCACGTAGGCGGCATTGAACTCGGTCACTAGGGTCCCCGCGCTGCGAGAGGCCATGGTGAGTGCGGCGGGCACGGAGCAAGCCGGCGCTCCGGAGCTTTCCGCCCGCCCGAGGGTCAACAGCCCGGGTCTCCGGGCAACGGCGCTCCTGGCAACGTCTGTGGGGCCGTGCCGCCTCGGGGTTCCGGGGTCCCCGCCCCCTCGAAATCCCCTCCCGGGAGCCCCGCCCGGCGCCCCTGAGAGCGCGTTCTCCACGAGCTGTCCTGGGTGACCGCAGATCGCCGGCCCCACGCGAGCTCCGCTTTCCCGTCGAGGAGTGGGTTCACCTCTGGTCCCCCGCGTGGTGTGGCGACGCTCAGATGCGGGACGGGGTTGGACACGCGAGGAGGAGGCCGGGCCGATCCGCCCTTGTCCTGTCCGTGGCAGGACGCGGGGTCCCGGCGCGAACCCCTGGCTTTGGAGGAGGAGCAGAAAGCAGCAGCCCCAACGCGGCTCAACTCTGGGAGTTTGAGGGGCCGCGAGGGCCCCAAGGGTCATCGCTCCCCAAGGCTACTCGCTGCTCCCCGGTTCATCAGCGGGGATTTTTTTTTTTTTTTTCCATTTATCTCTCGTCTCTCCCTGGGACTTCTCAGCTCGTCTTGCCCCCCAGACTACTCCACAAGAGCAATTTATAAGGAACAAAAAGCAAATGGTGAAAAGGTCGGGGTGTGTGGTTCACATTTGTCGCCAGTGCCGCAGTTCAGTCTGGCCCAGCTCTACAGGGTTGTCATGTTTGCCTAGAGAGCAAACCTTTGGAAGGCCTCGGTGAGGGTTCCTTTGTAATCATGCTTTCTTGTCATGTGGTGCACCCACACCCGGATTTCTCTGGTGACCCTCACACCAGCCCTGAGCTATGGGGGGGGGGGGGGGGGGAGTCGCCTTAGGTCTCTAAGTGGGGGGAGAGAGTATGGTCACAGCCTCCAAAGCATCTTGCTCTTTGGAACTTGGACCCAGACCTGCCTCCCCAGCAGCCCTGGGAGAGTCCTGGTGTCAGTAAGAACTCTGCCATTTACCCCGTCCTTCATAGTCTCATTTCATCTGTCAGCTGAGAGGTGTTATCTTCCCAGTTTGACTCTGTAAATGGCAGCTGATGAAGAACACGGACACTAATGAGCTCACAGGCTGCTGTCGCAACCAGAATTCTCAAAAGGCTTTCTCTGGCAGATAATGGTGGAGTTGGGGGGAGCCACGGGCTTCCATGAGGCTCAAGAAGAAAAATGAGTCCTGAGGAGGTAAAGGAGTGGAAGGGGAGCGAGTGGTTGCAAACGAGGTGGGAGGGATCCTTACTCAGCCTTCATAATGCAGCCATAACTGCATTATTTCTAAATGATCCATGCAGAGCCTGGGTTATAATAAAAACACTTATAAAAGTTGTAAAAGAACAACCCTCCATTTAGGTGTGCCATACTCCAGGAAGGTGTTTCTACTGACCATTCCCCATCACCACCCCAGCTTAGGACAAGGTCAAGTGTCCACTCCCTTCCTCCATTCATGGCTTCTGAGCTTACTCTGCCCATGGACCCACCATTGTGTCTGGTTATCTGTGTTCTAGTCCATCTGTCTCTCATGCTTGAGGTCCAGTGCTGTATCATATTCATTCCTGAATCCCCAGGGCCTGGTGCTAGAAGGGGTTCAGAAAATGTTCGTTGAATAAATTTTATATTAAGAGTTACCAAAATGGGGACTTCCGGTCAAGATGGTGGCGTAGGTAAATGCGGTATCGCGTCCTCCCACAACCACATCAAAGTTACCACGAAACTACAGAATAACCATCATTCAAAACCACCTGAAATCAAGCTGAATAGAAGTCCTACAACTACAGAATTAAAGCAGCAGCCACATCCAGACTGGTAGGAGGGGCGGAGGCGGACAGGCTGCTCCCACACCCAAGTGTGGCGGATAAAAATCAGGAGGACACCTCGGCTGGGAAGGTCCTTCCTGAGGACTGAGGGGTCCCTGTCCCACACCAGGTGCCCCGCTCAGGGTTCCAGTCCCAGGAAGAGAATCCCCATAACTTCTGGCTGGAAAAACCAGTGGGAACTGAGGCTCAGGGAGGCTGACCCGGCTGGAGCCCCAGGCAGCTCCTTAAAGGGCCCGTGCACGGACTTATCAGACTCTCTCCCTCTAAGCTTGGAGGGGAGGCAGCCCGAGGGGCGCCAGAGTCATACAGGGAAGAACTGAGCTGTTTGGCACTGGAGCAAGGGCTGGAGAGGGGGCTTTCTCTGGGACAAACATGCTGTAAGAGGCCTTTGTTCCTTTGGTGAGCCCTTCCCTGGGGCGGCAGACAGAAGCCATATCTGGGACTCCAGCAACCTGGCTCACACTGGTAGCCCCGCCCTGGTGACTCCCTGAGGCCCCGCCCCGCCCCACCCAGCTTTCAGGCCCACCCAAGCTGTTGCCACTTTCTTAACCATAGGATTGGCCTGTCTTGGATCCTGCTTCAGGTTTTTCCTAAATTCTTTCAAACAAGCAGCATCTGGTCTCAGCTAGCCCCATACCTCTTGTTAAGTAATACACAGAAACAAACACAGGGAGGCAGCCAAAATGAGGAGACAAAGAAACAGGTCCCAAATGAAAGAACAGAACAAAATCCCAAGAAAAAAACTAAGCGAAATGGAGATAAGCAACCTAACAGATACTGAGTTCAAAATACTGCTTATAAGGATGCTCAGTGAACTTAGTGAGGGCCTCAAGAGCATAAAAAAGGACCAGTCAGAAATGATGGATGCACAGTCAGAAATGAAGGAGGCATTAACTGAAATAAAGAATAATTTACACAGTTTCAATAGTAGAGTATGTAAATCCAAGAAGCAAACCATTGATTTGGAATATAAGGAAGCAAAAAACACCCAATCAGAACAGCAAAAAGAAAAAAGAATTCAAAAAATGAGAAGAGTGTAAGGAGCCTCTGGGATAACTTCAAGGGTACCAACATTCGCATCTTGGGGGTGCCAGAAGGAGAAGAGTGAGAACAAGAAATTAAAAACCTGTTTGAAACAATAATGGCAGAAAACTTTCCTAACTTGGTGAAGGCAACAGACATACAAGTCCAGGAAGCACAGAGAGTCCCAAACAAGATGAACCCCAAGAGGCCCACACCAAGACACATCATCATCAAAATGCAAAAGGTTCAAGACAATGAGAGAATCTTAAAAGCAGCAAGAGAAAAGCAGTTAGTTACCTACAAGGGAGTTCCCATAAGACTGTCAGCTGATTTCTCAAAAGAAACTTTGCAGGCCAGAAGGGAGTGGCAAGAAATATTCAGAGTGATGAAAAGCAAGAACCTACAACCAAGATTACTCTATCCTGCAAAGCTGTCATTTAGAATCGATGGACCTATAAAGAGTTTCCCAGACAAGAAAGAGCTAAAGGAGTTCATCATCACCAAACCATTATTATATGAAATGATGAAGGGTCTTTTTGAAGAAAAAGATAAAATATATGAACAAACAAAATGGCAATGAATACATATCTATCGACAATGGAATCTACAAACAAAATGAACAGTCAGAGCAGAAACATTCTCATAGATACAGAGAACATTTTGTTGGTTGCCAGATGGGAGGGGGGTTGGGGGAATGGGTGAAAAAGGTGAGGGGATTAAGAAGTACAAATTCATTGCTAGACCGACAAACCTCAAAGGGAAAGGGGTTGTGGGGGGGTGGAAAGAAATAAACAAAAGAACTTATATGCATGACCAATGGACACAGACAATAGTTTGGGAAAAGGCGGGAGGGGGGCAGGAGGGGGGAGGAGGGGGTCAATGGGAGAAAAATGAGGAACATCTGTAATACATTCAACAATAAAGATTTAAAGAAAGAAGAAGAAGAAGAAGGAGGAGGAGGAGGAGGAGGAGGAGGAGGAGGAGGAGGAGGAGGAGGAGAGGAGTTACCAAAATGGGTAATGGGAGAGTGGAAATTAATAGCCGTATCTGGCTCAGATTTCAGAAAGGTCAGTGGGCTCAGTTAAAGGATGCTATGTGGCAGGGGGAGAGGGGGAAGAATTGGCAGATGAAACCATTTTATAGATATGAAAACTGAGGTTTAGCAGAGCCAATGCCTTGCCTAGGGCAAGTTCATGGGCCTTTTCCTAAAGATACACAGGTTCATTGGAGGCCTCATGAAACTCACCCCCTTTGAGAGAACCGTCAGAGGGCCTAGGGAGGGGATGGATTTTTTTTCTATCAAGTGCCACCAAGCCTTACAAACAAAGATCTCTTGGTGACCTCATGAATGGAACTTGCTAGTCAATTTAGTTTTTTTTTAAGAGACATTAAACTTATCTGGTTTTAAAAAAAATTAGACATTCACTTGTATTTGATAAATGCAATGTTACTAAAATATTCTTTGATTCAATATGGTTTAGATAAAAGTGAAAAAGGAGAATGGGAAATGGAGAAAAAAAAAGAGGGAGGAGGAAATGGAACATAAATAGAAAAAAATAATAAGGCCAAGTAGCAAGGAAGCACCTAGAAGGAGGGAGGGAGGCTCTGTGACACCCTGCAGGTCTCTTGGACTGTAGTATTCAAAGGGAGTGATGACTTGTTAGCATGCTGTGAAAATGTAACATTCTCTTTCTGAATCTCAAACTGTTACACATAAATCACCAAGTTCACTCTCTTATCCTGCCAACATTTACTGGGCCTCTTACTATACACGAAATACCATGCCAGGCCCTGGGGATACAAAGATGCAGTGCCCTGGGGTCAGCAGGGAGAGGTTAGTGAAGCAGCCCAGTGAAGGGGTGAGATGGGAGGGACCGAGGCACAGAGGACCCTAATGCGGCCTGGGTACTGGTACAGAGGCACTTCCAGGAATGGGCACGAGGTGCGTCTACGTGAGGAGGCAGGGTGCGGTAGGGGCATGCTGTGCAAAGCAAACAGTGTGAGCAAGGGTGCAGCTGGCCCGGCAAAGGCTCCAGGTTTGAGGATGCCACTCCCCAGGGCCCCTTGCCCCATGAGTCCCTACTCAGGTGTGCTGCTGGAAGAAAGGAGGGGGCAGTTCTCCTTTGGCCCTTGG